CCAAACACATCGCGCTGCGGTACTTCTTCGTCAAAGACGAAGTTGACAAGGGCAAGGTTGACCTAACCTACTGCCCAACGGGTGACATGGCAGCTGACTTCCTCACGAAGAAGCTGTCACGTCAGCAGTACCAGCACTGCTCCGAACTCAGCGGGGTAGTCAAGCGGGTCAAGACTCGCTACGGTCAGGAGTGAAGGGGGGTGTTACGAATAGTGATTATTGAAAACACTATTGAGCACTCCTCACCGCAGCAACCGAAGCACGCACTACCGAGAATGAAGATGAAAGGGCGCAAGTGACACGAAGGGTCACACGGTTACGAAGAGCATCTGGGCCGTCGGGCAGACAGCATCAGGCAGCAGCAGTGGCGAGGACTCTGCCCGAACAGTTTCGTAACTGTCAGGAGTCGCACGGTTGGATTTCGCTGCAATAAGGGAATGTACCCCTTAGAGTACATGGCTAGCTAGGTCGTTTCGAATTCCCTTGTACTCTTATTTATATCCTTTGTATTGCATGTTTTTATCATCTCAAACATTTACATTCACTCTGCTATTGAGGTCAAGGGCCCACCACCACTAGATTAGAAGTGTGCGAAAGCTTCCTGAGGTGATCCTGGTCACGATCAACTTCTGATCGCAACACCACAGACATGCATTGTTAATGAAATAATAGATGGATAATGATATGGTAGATGAATGCCACACATACGGACACATACGCACGCAATCAGACGGACACACGCACACACAGAAGCTCAGAACAAGCCAATGCAAAAAGAACTTACGAAGGAAAAAAAAACACAGAAGATGCAAAAGATCACTACCAACCAAGCAATACAACACAATTAGACCTAATCGCCACAAATGTGATCGTTCCTCCTTTAAAAAGGACCTTCAATTCCCAAATGGTACAGCAAAGCCTCTGAAAAGTAGGAAATAGGGAAACGAAAGGGGGGAAATGGGGAATAGAAGTTGAGGGGATATAGATGGCGACTTTGAGAAAAAAAAACCACAAGCTGGCTTTCTGAACACAAATAGCAGGGAATAGGAGTAAACGGAAAAGAAGAAAGAGAAAAAAGTAAGAAGAGAAGTCCAAAGAGCTACACGTAGGTAAGAATGGAAAAGTACAGAACAAAGGAAAGAAGAATGATCATCGAAAGAAGGGGAGAGGAATGGAAATGCAGAGAGGGAGAAGATACCTCATATTCAAAATGCTAAAAGTTTTTCTCCACTAACTTGAGAGCGAGCTGATAGAAGAAGGGTGGGGTTGGAAGTGATGCTGGGGAAGGGGAGGGGGAACACGAGGGAAGGTGCACAAACAAACGGAAGCAATAACAAAAACGAGGAAGAAAACGAGAGGCTCTCCAATGAAGCTCATATTCAAATATCGTAAGCTAGCCAGAATGTGGTTGTATGAGAGAAAGAGGGAGAAAGAGAGAGAGGCGGTTGAAAATGAGAGACCACAAGAGAGAAACCGCCGAGCGAAAGAGTTGGACAAGAAAGAAAATCGTGTTTCCATTTTCTACCAATTACGAAATATACCGTACAAAAAACGTAAGCACCAATCACGAGGTACTTCTTTCTATATCGAGATACCTTACTCTCTTAATCTTAGAACGTAAACAACAATACTAGCCTAGAAGACCTAAGCTCACCTCAGAAGCTCATAAAACGGATTCAACAAGAAAGGCAAACATACAACATAGTGAGTGCAAGGAGAAAAGACGGGAACAATCAGAGCAGGAATGGTATTGAAAGTGATGCTGGGGAAGGGGAGGGGGAACACGAGGGAAGGTGCACAAACAAACGGAAGCAATAACAAAAACGAGGAAGAAAACGAGAGGCTCTCCAATGAAGCTCATATTCAAATATCGTAAGCTAGCCAGAATGTGGTAGTATGAGAGAAAGAGGGAGAAAGAGAGAGAGGCGGTTGAAAATGAGAGACCACGAGAGAGAAACCGCCGAGCGAAAGAGTTGGACAAGAAAGAGAAAATCGTGTTTCCATTTTCTACCAATTACGAAATATACCGTACAAAAAACGTAAGCACCAATCACGAGGTACTTCTTTCTATATCGAGATACCTTACTCTCTTAATCTTAGAACGTAAACAACAATACTAGCCTAGAAGACCTAAGCTCACCTCAGAAGCTCATAAAACGGATTCAACAAGAAAGGCAAACATACAACATAGTGAGTGCAAGGAGAAAAGACGGGAACAATCAGAGCAGGAATGGTAAGGCAGAAAACTGAACAATAAAGTACACATCAACAGAGGAACAACGTAGCAGACAAGAGACGGCGAAAGCATCTAAACTACAAAGCAGGAGATTAAAAAAAAAAATGTAGAGAAACGACGAAAGAAGAGGAAGGTAAAACAACGTAGGAAAAACGACGACATGGAGAACACAGAGGATCAAAAGAAAGAGGGATGTAGGCAGGAAGCGAGAAGCACAAGAAAGATGAGCATCAAATATGGAAAAAATGGACAACTCACCTAGCAACGAGTAGATGGCGTATAGCCAGGAAGCGAATTGAAGGAGGACGCCTAAGAAAGAAAGGAAGGAGCAAATCTGTTTACATTGAATGCATTGAGAATGAAATGTGAAGAGTAATGGATACGGAAATGTGAAGAGCATGGTTTTCAGAGATTAAGACAAGGCGAAAATCGTTGATACGGTAGCAAGAAGTGAGGAGCACGCACTAGTTAAGAACAAACTAATTGCTTAGTCGAAATGACATCAATCCTTCAAAAACGATCTAGCTTTAGAACGGTCAAGGATACGAGATTAAGAAACGTTAATCTAAAGGATAATATCTAAACTAGTTGATAGCTAACGTTGAGGTTCTCCTCACCTTTGAGTGGTAGGTAGGAGCAGAGTGACTAGCGGCAGTAACCTAGCTGCAGCGACGAGAGGAAAGGGAGAGAAAGAAGGACGATACAAACCCTAAGCTAGTGCTGAGTTCGTCGCGTTTGTCCGAAAAACTTACACTGACAAGTTCAGACAGTGGTTTTAGCTTAGTCGTTTGAGTTCGGGTAGGCGATCGAAAGGTCGAAGGTTTGAACCTAGCAATTGAAATTTTAGAACACATTTCAAATAGCGCGAAGTACACTCACTTTCATACTAAATAATAATTAATGTAGTTAAAACCAGGGTCTCATGTAAGCAAAGGAGCCATCAACTGCAAAACAGTTGAAGCTAGGTTACATAGTTAGAGGAGACGAAGTTCTCTCTGGTTTGGTTGGAAACTCAGCTTGCGACACACCTGGTAGTTGCTCTAGCAGCGATGGCAAAAAACTTCCAGGTAGCAAGAGGACGCGTCATCTCTTCACGATTTTGCACGCCCCCCCGGCCCAGGGTCGATTTTGTCCGGTTTTGAAAACGGTTCTAAATCTTTACGATGTAACAAGTAGGTTTCAAGTGTGGTGGACGATCGGTTTTTGACACGTCCTGAGTCTTTCGGTCGGTTAAAAAACGAAAGAGGTGACGCGTCCTACGAATTTCGATGATTTGGGGGTTATTTTAGGTTTGGCTCCAAACCAAGTTTCCAAGCCTAGAAGGTTCGGGTACACCCAGCGATTTGCGTTCACTTCGCACCCCTCGCTTCACCCCACTTCAAACCTAACACCTCGCCAACCAGTCACAGCCACCCTCATCAACTGCAAAACACTTCCAGTACGTATGACCCTGGTTTTAAGCAAAACGCTTCGCAACCCTAAGACGATTTCGCCGCCTCTTGTTTTTTTTTTTTTTTTTTTTTTTTTTTTTTCCCGCGTGCAAGATGACGCTCCAAAACCGTCAGCCTGGAGCGTCATCCCAGGCAAAACGGAGCGTCATCCTGCGTTCCATTGAGAGATATCTCATGAAAATTGTTCATCAAGATCCCATGAACTAAAAAACAGCAAACATATGTTTCCATTATCCACAAGGAATTTGCTTGCGTTGTAGAGACAGTAGGGGCATACGCCTATAACGCCTCGCATCTGGGGTCATACGCGTTGCGCTGTAAATTGATGCAACTGCATCGATCAGGGAGTTGGGTGAGAACTTGGGATCTCGTCACCCACGAGCCCGTACAGCATTTTTTGTGCCAGCGTTTGCTGCTGCAAGTGCGCGCGGTGTCCTCGTGCAGGTACAGCATCTCAACAGTTCCACTACACCCACAACCTAAACACCCCAACCGGTTGTCCCAAGACGGCAATGCCTCAAACATTCACCAGGACACAAGGGTTCCTAGGAATCAGAAGTTTCTAAATTCCTAGTGCAGCTTGAAGATGGCAAACTACCAGGTGAAATCAGTCTTTTCAAATGAGGACGTATTCGAGGCTCGTACGACTCATCGCGTCACTGGTTCCAAACCCACTTTGGTTTAGCTACCGCTTTGCCCCTAGTTCCGAGACGACTTTGGCCTTCTGAGCCTCAACTTCGTCTCTGAATGCCCTTTTCGGTCACCTCGTATCAGTCTCCGGAGCCTTTGAGGATGGCCCTGAATTTTGAGGGGCAGCGATACAGTGAAGGATGGGCACATTGTGACATTCTACGAGTTGGCCCTGGAGATTTTGTGTGGAATGACTCTGGTTGGCCCCTTGGACCCTGCTGCACGAAAAATATCACTCCCTTCGCATGTCCGTATTGCTCCCAACCAATCCCGGTGCGTCAATTGGTCCTTCTAGGCCACCACACCACTGCAACCTTTGAGTTTCCCCTTCGTCAGACTCTGGTTTGCGAAACAAACGCGCTTTCGCATCTCACTTCTCATCTCACCACCACCGCTTTCGTCTCATCCTCCTCTCCATTCAAGCAGGATGAACCCCCCCTTTTCCTTGTTGGGACAAGATTGTGATCACAGGTGTCTGTTACGACTTATTAGCTGCTTTTCAGTGTTGAGAGCCTGTTTCAGATTTACACCTTGCCAAATCGTTGGAGGCATTTCGTGCATGTAATTTCTTGTTCGTGCGTGTTTTTTATTTCTTCCTGCTGCGTCGTCGCGCGTGGGACGAGATGGAGGCGGAGTTGTTGACGTCGCGCTTCGAGATGGACGAGCTGCTGTCCAAGATTCATCCTGATATGCGACACAACTCTGATCCCCACAAGGCTAAGGCGGGGCGGCGCTTGGCGGTGCGTCTGCTGGTGGGGGGCAGGGATGGCGCGTCCGGCACGGAGCAGTCGTCGGACGGGCGGGAGGTGTCCGAGCGGCGTGGCCGTCGAATGCACAAGAGCGCCTCGGAGGCGAACGTCAAGGGGGCCGGGTCTCGGGGCGGGCACGCGTTGGCGGGGTCCATGGGGGCGTTGACGGGCAGCGGCAAGGCGCTGAACGGGTCGGCGATGAAGGCGCAGCTGCGCGCGGAGCAGGAGGAGCTGGCGTACCTGGGCATGGAGGCGGAGCGCATCGAGAGCAGCGGCGTCATCGACATCGTCAACGACGACGGCGCCGCCTTCCCCAAGCACCTCAGCTGGAACTACCGCGGGCTCGACATCACCCCCAAGTGCAGCAGTGGCGCGGAGGCGGGCGCAGACAGGGATCGGGAGGCGGGGGTGGAGTCGGTGCTGGCATCGTGGGCGCAGGAGAGGCGCGAGCTGGAGGCGCAGGTGGGCGCACTGAAGGCGGAACTGAAGCGCAAAGAAAGAGAGCTCAAGGCGGCGGGCAAGGCGAAGGCGGCGGCGGGCAGGGAGGTGGACGCGGTGTGGGGGCAGGTGAGCGCGCTGGAGGCGCAGCTGCACGAGCTGCAGGGCGACAAGTCCGCGCTCGAGAAAGAAATCGAGGGGCTGCGCGCGCTGCACGTGTCCAGTGCGCGCGATTCAGGAGAGTCAGCGGGCGCGCGGGCGGCGGACACGGAGATGGCGGGCATGCTGAAGATGGTGGGCGACTTCTCTCGGCGACTCGCTCTCGCGGACGATGCCGTGCGACGTGCCGAGGCCAAAAACGGCGAACTATCCGGTAAGCCATAGGTGGGTTGGAGGGTGAGTGGAGTGGAGGGTGGTACTGGAGCGGTGGGGATGGTGAGGATGTGTGTGCATGTGAGTCCGTGCGTTTTCCATACTCCCTGTACTCCCCCCCTTTCCCCTCGCGCCCTCTCATTCTTGCCTATCCCCGTTTTGTGCATCGCTACTTGTCCCGTGTCCCGCGTGCGACTTGCGGCACTGCGCAGAGCGCGTGAAGGCGAGCGAGGCGCAGTTGCGGGGAACGAGGGAGGCGCTGCGCACGGCGCAGGAGGAGAGGGACGCGCTGGCGGCGGAGATGAAGGAGGCGCTGGACTCGTGGGCGTGCACCGGCTCTGCACACCCCACACCCCCCTCTGCCACCCCTGGCACAGGGGGCGGCAGCGGCAGCGGTGGCATGGGTGTGGGCGCATCAAGGCCGTCAGCGCCACTGGTTGAGCACATGGGCGAGGCCATGGCGGGGAACGGCTTCCCGGGTGCTGCCCAGGCCATGCATGCCATGCAGCACTGGCAGCAACGCGCATGGGATATTGCTGGTGCAAGCAAGTCGGGAAGGCGTGGGTACAGCGCTGGTGGTGGCGTGAGGCGGCCACCCCGGGACCCCAAGACATGGGCAGTGCAGTTTGACGCCCTCTCATGCAGCCCCTCCCCTCCTTGACTTGCTGCTCGCCTCCAGGGACAACACAGCATCACAACACACCCCTGCTCTCGCTTGTGCTGCTGGAGGCCACATTCACTGTTGCTGTGCCCCATTACCCTAGTAGTTGCAGCAGGCCATGTGTTCCAACCTGCTAGTTAGTACATACACAGTACATGTCATACATAGATTTTTCAGACAGACATACAGGAGTGAAGTTAATTTGATATACACACGGGTGCCGTAGACTGAAGGCAGACATTCTTTTTCCATGTGACAGATGGTCTCCCAGAGGACTTCCATCGCATCCCATCATGCACCTCCAAAGCGGTCAAGTGGGGAATTCCTAAACAGCGCTCCCTCCCACCGTTTATGGCAATAGGGGAGAGCATGGAGAGAGTGGAGGGAAACGTGCTTCACCCACTCCATGAACGTCACCTTGCAAGCCTCAAGCGTGGCAGCATCAGCTGTTGGGCATCTCCCCGACCTCCACCTGCTGCTCTCGCCTCCTTGCTGCACCCCAAGACTCGCCCCCCTCATTGCCCGCCTGCCAGCACTGTGTGCGGGAGTGCCTGAGCCCTGCCAGCTGCGCGTGCCACTGCTGCCGCCATGCCGCCTTCACCTCCAGCTGTTGCAGGGGGCGTGGGAGAGGGTGCATTGGGATTGGGATTGCAGCGCCAATGCTGCGCGGGGCTGTGGACGGCAGTGTGCAACGCCGCGAGCATGGGGCACGACTGATGCACGCAAGCAGGACAACGGGGTGCCATGGCAGGGCAAACCGGGTGGCGAGGGATCAAGTGAATGCTGCGCGCACCACCTCACGCTGTCAGCCATGGCGCACGGGATGGACAGGAGCGTGCTGGGGATGGCCGCTGCACGCATGCCACCACTGCCACCTCGTCCTGCCCGTCCTGCCATGCTTGCCCCCCCCTCCCTCCCTCCCTCCCTCCCTCCCTCCCTCCCTCCCTCCCTCCCTCCCTCCCTCCCTCCCTCCCTCCCTCCCTCCCTCCCTCCCTCCCTCCCTCCCTCCCTCCCTCCCTCCCTCCCTCCCTCCCTCCCTCCCTCCCTCCCTCCCTCCCTCCCTCCCTCCCTCCCTCCCTCCCTCCCTCCCTCCCTCCCTCCCTCCCTCCCTCCCTCTCCCTCCCTCCCTCCCTCCCTCTCCCTCCCTCCCTCCCTCCCTCCCTCCCTCCCTCTCCCTCTCCCTCTCTCTCTCTCTCTCTCTCTCTCTCTCTCTCTCTCTCTCTCTCTCTCTCTCTCTCTCTCTCTCTCTCTCTCTCTCTCTCTCTCTCTCGCTGTCGCACATCTGCATGCGCGCCGCGGCCCTCACCTGCTCCTCCACGCTGTCCCACATCGCCTGCCCCATCCACGGCCGCCGCATCCCGTGTCGCCACCGTCTCTCCGCCCCCATGCCCATCTCCCCGTTCCGCCTGCTGCCCCCATGCCGTGCGCGCGCCACCAGCGGGTGCAGCAGCTCCCAGTCGTACTGCGCGCGCTGCTGCGGGTGCGACAGCACGTCGTACGCGCGCTGCACGGCGATGAACCGCCGCGTGCTCTCCGCCTCGCTCAGCCCCGCCGCGCGACTGTCCGGGTGGTAGCGCCGCGCCTCGCGTCGGTACGCCACCTTGATGTCGTGCATGGACGCGTCGCGCCGCGCCAGCCCCAGCACGTCGTACAGCGTCGTGCCCGCTGCGCCGGGCCCGTCCGCCCACTCCGCAGGCACCCTGCCGCGCGGGTCCGACGCGGACGCGCGGGGTGCACGAAAGGTCCCCGTGGTGGGGCGCGCGGGGACACTTAGCAGTCGGAGAAAGGGCGCGGCGCTAGGCGGACGAATAGGCAGTGTGGGTGCGACGGCGAGGCGGCGGGGACACGGCAGTTGGTGAGGGTGAAGCGAGACGAGACGAGGCGGAGAGAAGGCTGCCCATAGGGCACTGGAGGGCGCGCGCGCACACACATGCAGTGCGGCGGTGGGGAACAGAGAGTGCGACGAGGAAGGTGGAGCGAGAGGGCACTGCGGCGAGCAATGCCCTCTCAGCGCCATGGCCTGAAATGCGAGGGCAGCGCTCGGCACTCGGCACGGTGGAGAGCAGCAGCTGCAGCAAGTTGCGGCGGGAATACCATTGGCTGCCTGGCGCTAGAGTGGTGTGTTCGCATGCTGCTGCCACACCCACCCTGCGCTGGGAAAACGTGACCTGTAAACCAGAGTGCTCGGTGGGAACTGGTGCAGCTTGAGTGGCATCATTGGTCTCATTGATTCCACGTGTAAATGCTCTAGACACGGTACCGAAAGAGCCCATCCTGCTCCTACACCACAACAAGCCTCTCTAAGGGGGGAGTTGGACTCTCACTAGCTCAACATGAACGCTAAGGCGGACAATTTTGCCAGCCTTGTCAGTAATTACTATCTTCCTACTCGCACCCACCAAATCTGCCGCACGTGTGATGAGAAGCAAAGGTGAGTCCTTTGATGCATGTTGGTTGCTGCGAGATGCCATGCCTCATGCCCTTCCATCTCAAACACTGCCACATCACCAACCTCCGCACCTGCGCTACACCTGCCATGCGTGCACCTGCTGTGGCGCGGCATGGAGCAAGGGCTTAGGTGTTGTGGGCACTGGTGGAAAGCACTAGAGTCATGCGCGTGGGAAGCATAAGCACGCTTGGAACCTCAGCCCCATGGCCACACATCACCACATTTGTTTGCAGCGCCACCACAGCTCCCCCCTCCTCCCCTGCCACTCCAAACACCCCCAGGCGTTGGCGGTGTCATTGCGAGTCGTCAAGGCGCACGCGCTCCGCCAGCTTGGCGAGGCCGGTGTCCCGCGTCCACGCAGGGGGGATCCAGTCGCCGTCCTTCACCACCTTGCCACACGGCTCCAGCGCCAGCACGGGCAGGTCGGGGAAGCGGCCCAGGCGCACCTCCGCCGTGTCCAGGTGCGTGCCCCCCGCCCGTGGCTCCAGCACACGGTGCTCCTGCCACCACCACACACCCACGCGGCACACACGGGTGAGCGCCGTGCAGTGGGCGAGTGGGACATAGGGAGGCAGCAGTACCACGTGCACTTTGGCCTAAGGTGCCACCAACACACACCACTCACATGTCCTTCACACACCTTGAATGCAAGCAGGTCGCAATGACACATGGGTCGTATATGACTAGTGCAGCACATGAAACCATACTTCCAGCACTGTGCAACCCAAGCAATGGCATGCAGCGGTGCGGTGGGGTTGGCAGGGCATGCGGGCATACCGCAGTCATGGATGTCTTGCGCGGGTCCACCATGTACTTGCGGCGCCCCTCGTTGCCCAGGCACAGGTTGCGGTTGCCGTGCAGGGTGGTGTTGGAGCACGTGGGCGTGGGGTCGCAGAACACCATGCGCTCCACCTCCCACCCGTTGAACTCCTCGCCCTCGGGTGGCGCCGCACACCGCTCCGTGAAGTAGCGCACCGACCCCACCGTCAGGAACGTGGAGCGCTGCGGGGACCAGGGGGGGGCACGCCCGTGCCAAGTGTCGCACCATGGGGCCACAGGCGTGAGCGGTGGGGCACAGAAAAGTGAGTGGGGAAAGCAGCAGAGGCAACACAGTTGATGTGCGGGTGTGAAGCGGTTGTGAGGGGTGTATGAAGAGGCAGTTTGACCTTGTGCTTGTCGAGAGTGGCGTGGATGGAGTGCGGCGGCGCCGTGACGTAGAGGTACTCGTCCACGTCCAGGAACAGCGCCCACCGCGCTGCCGTGCGCGCAAAGTACAGACAGTCGTGCGCCGCTAGCAGCTGCGCTCCCTCCCATGGGCACGGGCGTGCAGGTGGGGGAGGGAAGAGAGGTGCAGGGATAGGGAGAAGGGAGGTGATGGGGATGAGCCACGCCTGGTATTTGGGGCACAAGCAACGTGGCGCAGCGTAGAGCAGTACACATGGACCCGCGCGACACAAATGCATCGGCCCCAACCCAAGCGCAGGTGTGCAGGCGGCATGAGTGCATGGCTTGTGGGGCAGGGCAGACCTGGCCATGCATGAAGGGGTCGTGCTTGGCGGCCATGCGCATGTCCAGCACGGCCAGCAGGCGCTCGTTCACAAACGACTCCGCCACGCCCAGGAAGTCGTCCGTGACGCCGCCGGCGTCGTAGAGCTGGAAGAAGTCGATGCGGTGCACCTTGCGGTGGAACTCCACCCACTGGTACAGGCGCAGCGTGTCGTACTCGCGCTGCAGCGGCGGCGAGCAGTACATCACATCGTACACCAGCGTCTCCTCCGCCTGCCATGCGCCATCACGGGTGCGTGCGCGAGGGAGAGGGGAGATGGAGAGACTAGTACAAGTAAGGAAGGAGAGGCGGGTGAACGGTATGTGGGAGCGTCTAGGAGCAGTGGATGGAGTGGTATGTGATGCGAGCGCAATGGTGTTAGCACGCGCTCGGGAGGGCTCAAGTGCGAGAGGCGGTGCTGCGTTGCAGCAGTGCAGGCAGGGGGGTGTGCAGGGCGGGGCGTGGCGACTGACAGCGAACTTGAGCTTGTAGCCGGGGTTGGCGTCCTCCTCGTACACCAGCAGCTCCACGCCGTTCACACTCATGCGCAGCGCACCGCCGGTGCGCAGGTTGGCCTCCTCCTCCAGGATGCAGAAGAGCAGCGCCGCCAACTCCTGGCCCTTGCCACGGCTCTTGATCACCGCCGGCCCCAGCGCCATCTCCGCCACGCGCTTCACCGACACGCGCCCCGCCAGCCGCGACCCCTTCTTCGTGCGCCACCTGCACACGCACGCACGGCAGGGGTGGCAGCACATGTGTGGCGTGCAGAGGCGCGACACCACGCATAGTGCACCATGCACCACAGCCCCCCTCGCCACCACCACAGCCCGCCCTGCTGCCATGCGCTGCTGTGCCATGAGGTGCGCTGCACTGGGCCCACCACAGCACGTGGCACACAGGTGGGGCGCAGCGATTCAAGTCCAAACCCCATTCCTTGCTCCCACCCACCAGACCGATGGGGACCGCCCGCCCCCATGCATGCATGCAGCACTGACCAGCAGTCAAGGTCGGTGAGCGTGCGGTTGGGGCGGATGTTGCCTATGGCGACAAAGGTGTCCATGGTGCTGCGATAGCCGCTGAAGAGCAGGAAGTCCATCTGTATGCGCCACCCTCACCCCCTCACATGCCGCACACTCACTCACTCACACACACACACACACACACACACACACACACACACATGCACACACAGAGACATGCACACACTCGCTCACACACACACACACACACACACACACACTCGCACACACACATGCAAACACTCACTCGCACGCACACACCCACTCACACATATGCACGTGCATGTGCGCGCGCGCGCGCACACACAAACACACACACACACACACACACACACACACACAGCCAAGAGCATGCAGACGCAAGGGCCAAGGGCAGAGGAAGAAACAGACGGTGCATGTGAGGCGGCAAAGGGGAGGAGCATGGAGAGCTGGAGAGGAGACGCGATGAAGAGCAGGGACAGGAGTGAGAGCAGCGAGGCATGTGGTGGCACCTTGCGTGGTGGCTTCTTGTCTTGTGTGGCTGGCCTGCCACCATCGCCACCGTCGCCACCACCGCCGCTCTCGCCTCCTTGCTTCTGCTGCTCCTCCTGCCTGCCCTCCTCTTGCTGCTGCTGCTGCTGCTGCTGCTGCTCCTGCTGTGGCTGCTGCTGCTCACCAGCCTGCTGCCCTGCATCTCTCTCAACCCCCCCACCGTGTGTCCCTCCCCCTTGCTCTTGCACCTGCTGCTGCACCTGCTGGGCTGCTTGCTCTTGCACTTGCTGCTGCTGCTGGGGCTGTGCTTGCTGTACAGGAGCGGGGGGCGGGGGAGAGGGAGGGGGATCAGCAGGGGGCGGGGAGGCCGTGCCAGTGAGCCACGGCAGCAGCCCGCCGGCCCGCCACCCTGTTGTTGCAGGGCTGTTGCTGCCCACGCCCACGCCCACCACGCCCATGCCCATGCCTGCGCCTGCGCCCGCGCCCGTGCTTGCTCCTCCCCCTGGCAGCATCTGCATGCGACCTGCTGCTGCTGCTGCGGGGGGTGACAGCACGTACCCGCCCTCCCCACCCCACGCGCCGCCCCCTCCCACTCCCCCCACACGCCATGGCTCCACCACCCCCACTCCCCCCGCCCCCCTTGACCCTGTGCCCCATGCCCCCGCCACTGTCCCCTCTCTCCGCCCACTATCCCCCCACTGCGCCCCTGTGCCCGCACCCCTGCCGTAATACCCCCCTGCCCCTGCGCCCTGCTCCCCATAGGTTCCCCCTCCTTGCGCCCATCTGCCCCTGTCACCCCCCTGCCACCCCGCCTGGGCCCCACTGCTGCGCTGCGACCACAGCCCCGCCCCCCCTGCGCCCGCCCCTGCTGCCCACGAGCGCTCTTCCCCACCCCGCTGCTGCTGGGACCGCCATCTGCTGTCCTCCGCGCCCTCCCCCTCACCCCCCTTGCGCCCATACCCATCCCCGCGCTGCCACAGCCTGTCCCTCCCCACTGCCCCCTTAAACCCATCCCCTTCCTCCCCGTACTCCCCCCTGCCCTCATGCCCCCGTCTGCGGCCCCCCTCCTCTGTTTTCTTGGACCGCAGGGCCCAAGCACCCCCCCGCCCCCGTTCGCCCTCCCCCTCCTCTTCCTCCTCTTCCTCCTCCTCGTCCTCCTCGCCTCGCCGCCTCCTGTCCTTGCGCGCGCCCTGCTGCTCGTCGTCCGCCCTGGCGCCCACCTTGCCCCTGGCCCTGCCCCTGGCCTTGCCCTTGCGCCGCAGCAACGAGTCACCCGCGTGCGATGCACTGACCAGCGCCACACGGGGGAGTTGGGTCGGGGCGACAGGGGAAAGGAAGTGGAAAGGGGTGAAAGCAAGACATGACATGTGGTGTGTGTGAGGCATGCGGGTAGGAGGAGGGTTGGCTATGACATAATGCAGGCACGGCATGCATGGCAGTGAGACACGACACCTATGGGGGATAGGAGGACGGCACAGCATGGCAGGGACGGCACAGCATGGCAGGGACGGCACAGCATGGCAGGTTGTTCCGTGATCGTCTCTCCCTCACCCTGCTCGCCGCCCTGCCACTGCCTTCCTGCTGCCTCTCCTCGCCGCGCCCCCTGCGCGCCTGCCCGTGTCCTCCTCCTCGCCCTGCTCCTCCTCCTCCGCCTCCTCCTCCTCGTACTCCTCCTCCTCCTCCCCCGACCTCTCCCATGCGCCCCGCGCCTTCTTCCCGCCCTTGCCGCGGCCCTTCTTCTTCCGCGCCACCCATGCGCCATGCCCTCGCGCCACTGCTCTCCCCTTCACCCCCTCCTCCTCCGCCTCCTCCTCCTCCTCGCCCTCTTCGCCCTCCGCCCCAATACCTTTCCGTCCAGCCCCCTCAACACTACGACCCGCCCTCGCTGTCCCCCGCGCCCTCACCACCCCCTCTCTGCCCACCTCCCCAAACCCCTGCGCCTGCCCGCCACTCGCCAAGCCCGCTGCCACCACCACAGGCGCGGGCGGAAGGGGAGGTGGAGGGGAGGGGGCCGGAGGAGGTGGGGAGGGCGGCGGGGATGTGGCTGGAGGGGAAGGGGGCGGAATGGAAGGGGGTGGCGAGGCGGGGGGGGGAGGGGAGATAGTGGGAGGGCGGGTGGATGGGGGCGAGGGGAGTCCGAGGGAGGAGGATGCGGAAGAGGCGGCGGATGGGAGGCGGATCTCAGCATCCGCGCCAGTCGCGGCGCCCATGACGGCGGTAGAGGCGTCGAGAGTCTTGTCCACGTGGCAGGATATGTCGCTGCGGTTCACACGCAGCACGAGAGAGAGAGAGAGAGAGAGAGAGAGAGAGAGAGAGAGAGAGAGAGAGAGAGAGAGAGGGGGTGAGAGGGAGGGGGGGAAGGATGGACGAGGTTAGTAAGCGGAGCAGGAAGGAAGGGCATGGCGAGGTGGTACGCGACGCAGCAACGAGGGCGGCACCGCAACGAGGAGGGCGCAGCCGTGGCGCGGCAGGGAGGAGCGAGACGCACGGCCCATGCGTGAGCAGTGGGAGGCGTGGCAGCGGCGTGAGGGCCGTGCACACCGTGCGCAAGCCGTCGCCTTTCCACGGGATGCTCCCGCCTCTCGCTTCTTCTCACCCCTCAACCGCTCGCCACCACTCCAAATGTCCGCCACCCTCGCGACGCGCCACCCGCCCGCATGAGACCAGGCCGGCCGCCCGCCTGGCTGGGCTCGCCCTCGCTGGGCGCTACCGGCGGCATCGCCGCGACGGCACCACCCACACGCGCGCTGGCGATGGCCGATGACTCGTCGCCGCGAGCAGCACGCGAGGCCGTGCCAGGCCGCGTCGCTCGCATGCAAATGCGTAGCGCGCATGTGGGCGTGGTGAGAGCGCGCGTGGGTGGGGGCGATGGCGGGCGCGCACCTGTAGAGCATGGCGGGCGCGCACCTGTAGAGCATGGCGGGCGCGCACCTGTAGAGCATGCTGACGATGATGATGTTGGTGATGGTGAGCACGATGATCGGCAGCTGGTGGTACATCCACGCCGGCGACTTGCCGCCGCCGCCACCGCTCGCTGCGCCGCCGCCAGTGCTGCTGCTGGTGCTGCCTCGGCCGCGGTACGCACTTCGCGACGACGCTGCGGCCGTCACCCGAGCCATGGCTGTACGCGCGACGCACCGCTACGCACGGCTCTTCCACGCGGTGGAGAGGCGACGAGTCGATCCGTGTGACGGGAGGTGGCATGCGGCCGTCACATGTTGGCGGCGAGCGCGCGGATCCACATGCGCGACGATTGCGGCATCACGGTCGCGATGGCCAAGGACACGTTGGGGCGTGAGAGTGAGGAGATTGGGGGGAAGGGGAGGGAGGGGGCTGTCGGTGGTGTGAATGTCAGCAGGTGAATCGCAGCATTACCACGTCGGTAGCGGTAGCTACTTAGTGGTCTGGTCTGTTAGGCTTCGGTGGTCTGAGAATGCGGACATGCTTTCAAGGCCAAGTTTTGCGTGTTGAAGTCAAGAGGATTGGTTGGTTGAGATTGAGAATGTGAGGGGAGGCACTGCTGTGGAGTGAAGGGCAACAACAGGGCAGATTGAAGTTGCCCCACCACCACCACCGCCACCGCCGTCCATCCCTTACCTCTCGTGCTGTCGCTTCCCTTCGCTTGCAGGTGCCCTTGGGGTGGTTACCATTAGCCTTGAGCTTTCGCCTGCCATATGAGTAGGTGACGGATCCACCGGGTTTGACAGCTTTGGTGCTGCTGATGGCTGGGTGAGCCCGCCAGAACGTTGGGGGGTTTGGGTTGGATTGGGGTGACGTACAGTAACGGCTGGGAGTTGTCTCTGAGCGTACGCTTTACTGGCCGTGCGAATGGCGAAATGCATCATGAACGTCTCGGGCTACGAGAGTCTGGAATTAGCATATTCGTAAGTTCAAAAGGTGATGTAAAGGAAATCACTATGACTATACTACATTCCACAAACCCCAAATATTTAGAGCTACGTGCAGAACCCACCAAGTAAGACTGAAGGTAAATAACAAAAGGATGTGCCGGTCTTGAGCAAGAACACAGAGAACAAAAACGGTTTACGTCAACGAAAGAGAAAGACTGGTAGGAGCACATACACGGTTCATAACAACAAAGTTGTACTCTCTGTCAAAATCGAAAACAGGAATGGTTTGACTAAGCAGGAAATGTGGTACAATTACTAACCCTAACAAGGGTTGTACCCCATAGGGAGTAACCCACTACAGTCTAACAATGTATGTTTGACACACCCTCATAGGCGAAGTGGGGAACAACAAGAGGTCATAAGACCAGTCAAGAGGAACAAACAAAGCAAAGCTCAGGGTGGATCTTGTTGGGCTGAGAAAAGCCCTTAGGATCTTTGCAAGGCTAACTCAGAGTATAAGTGTTGTAGTTGCGGAAGCGTTTTAATGATAAGTATTGAACCACATTGCGCTAGTATGTGAGGGCAAGATAGATTGATTATAAGAAAGTAATACAAGCCTTTTATAAGATTACAAGGAATATGAAAGGGTGCAACTAATAACTGTTTTACTGTTGCTGTTGCGGTTCGATACAGTGACGACTCGGGCAACTGCTCAGTATCGAGTCAGTTGTTTGTCCTTGCTGTCGCGCTGTATTTGTCAAGTCAAAGGTCGCTGACCTTTGACCTTCGCGTAACCTCCAGCAGTTACTTTCTCTTGTCAACCTCCGATGGTTGACTCGCCGTTGCTTCGTTGTAGTTTGCTTCGCTTGCAGTTCAGTGTTACGACACATCAGAAGCGCTTAAGTCACTTGTTTCCAACACTCCCCTTCGCTTCTGGAGTGTCGCCGCTGGTGACGTGGCTTTGTCCAGTCAGCATCATGCAGTACTCGAACTTATGTTTTCCGAGCTTCTTGGTCAAGTAATCAGCTGCCATCTCGGACGTGGGACAGTAGGACAGCTCAAGTCTCCTCTTCTCGATCTCGCCCTTCACGAAGAAATATCGCAGGGCGATGTGTTTCGTTCTGTTCGCGAATCCATTCTTGTTGGCGATGCGAATTGCTGACTGATTGTCGCAAAACAGAGAGAAGCTGGGTAACTGGGCCAGCTTCGCTTCTTCCAGTAGTTCGCGAAGGTATAATCCTTCCTTGGTGGCGGAGCAGAGTGCAATATATTCTGCTTCAGCTGAGGAGAGAGCGATTAGTTCCTGCTTGCTCGACTGCCACGAGATAGGCCCGATAGGTTCAAGTCGATAGATGTAGCCGGTGCGCGAGCGCCTGTTGTCATCGTCGCCGGCGTGGTCGGCGTCTACATAGCCGATTAGCTTAGGTGTCGAGGTTCCGTTTTTGTAGTAGGTCAGGCCGATCGTCGAAGTACTGACGAGATAGTGAAGAGCGCGGTCGAGCTCGGCCATGTGATCTGCTTCAGGCTTCTTGAGGTAGGTGGCGAGTTGGCTTGCCGAGTACGATAGGTCAGGTCGGCAGGTGACGGCTGCGAAGAGGAGACATCCTAGCTTTCGCTGATAGTCGCGTATGCCGGCGGGCTTGAGTGGTGCGGAGATTCCTTCGTGGCTCGCGGAGGTGTAGCGGTACGGTGTGGAGATAGCAGTTGGAGTTAATCCGAAGCGTTTCGCGATGGTGTCGCCGTATTTTGCGGCGCTGAGGTAGATCGCGTTTTCTTCTTCCTGTATGTTGAGCCCGAGGTATTGTGTTACGGTGGATGAGACGGTGAGCGTTAAGTCCCGCTGCAGCTCCCCTTCGAACCAAGTTGTGATGCCGTCGGTCGAGCCGGTGTAGAGTAGATCGTCCACGTAGACGATCAGCAGGATGTAGTCGATGCCTTTCGTGAGCCAGTACATGCCCTGGTCGTACGGTAGCTGGCGGATTCCGATGCGGATGAGCCGCGCGTGTAGGTATTACTGCCACAGTCTCGGGGCCTGTTTGATGCCGTACAGAGACTTCAGCAGTTGACAGACTTGGTTGGGGTCTGTGTTGGAGCCGTGTGGTTGCTCGACGAAGATCTCAGCATCGACAGGTGCGTAGAGAAACGCGTTGGCGACGTCGATTTGGCGTAGCTTCTTCTTCTTCATGGCGGCTATCGCGAGGAGAATCCGCAGAGAGGTGTGTCGGCTGACCGGTGCGAACGTTTCGGTGAAGTCCCGTCCGTGCTCTTGGTCAAAACCGCGTACGACCCAGCGTGCTTTAAACTTGTCGATGGTGCCGTCTGCTTTGGTTTTCACGCGGAAAACCCATTTCTCGGTGAGGATTGTCTTGTTGCGTGCCACGCCGATGGGAACGATTTTCTAGGTATTGCGTTCTTCCAGCGCTTTTAACTCCTTGTCCATGGCCTCGCGCCATTTTTCCCTGTGCTCCCCCCCCCAGAGCCTGCTGAACTGTGGCAGGCTCCTTAGGTGGCGCCGTGCCATGGACTGCGGCGACGAGCCCGAGTATCTGGAGTCCACTCTGTGTGTAGCGGGGAAGATTTGCGTCCTCGGGATAAGCTGCTTCGTCTCCTGCTTCTGGATCAGGTAAGAAATTAGGTCCTATGCGTTCTGCTTCGTCGGTGTTGACTCGTGCGGGTGTAACGTAACCAGTGTCAGCGAAGTCGTAGAAGACTTCGGCGTTGACGCTTTCGCGGGGGTTGTCGTCATCCATTGGGATGTCCACTGAGCAGTAGGGGAGAGGTCCGGCGTCCTCCGACGCTCTGTCCACGTTCTGTTCATCCCACTCAGCTTCATCTGCTGCCGAAGCGAAGGCTCGGTCCCCACGAAATCCGCCTGTGACATCCCGTGAGGTTTCCAAGTTGTATAGGTACGTTGGAAGAGTGAGGCGTTCGTAGAAGAGGACATCACGTGCTGCCACTGTTTCCTTTGTGTTGATGTCGAAAATCTTCCATGCGTTGTAATGTTTTTCAATGCCCAAGTGTAGCCCCCATTGTGCGCGTTGGGAGAATCGACCAGCACGTGCAGCTGGGGGTCGGTACTGTACCATGCAGCCGAACACTCGTAACATTTTTGTGTTGCCCATTTTTCCTGTCCACAGCAGATGTGGTGATGCGTTGTTCGGGAGTGATGATGACGAGAGCAAGTTGTGCAGCATGACAGCGTGGTCCATCGCCTCGGGCCACTGGTGGTTGGGTAGCCGCATGCCACGTAGCAGCTTGCGCATGGTGTTCTGGAGGGTCCTGTTCATTCTTTCTGCCACGCCTTGCTGTTGGTGAGCGTAGGGAAGAGAGAGAAATCGCTTGATGCCTCTCTCCGCTAGGTACTGTGTGAACCTCTGTGATGTGTATTCTCCTCCCCCGTCTGACTGGAAGCTTTTTAGCTTCACTCCTGATTCTCGTTCTGCTACTGGAAGCCAGGCGACGAAAGCTTCGAAGGCCATGTCGCGCCTCGGGAGGTTTAGATGCCATACGTATCGTGTGGCGGCGTCGATGAAGGTGATGACGTAGTTGTATGCTCCTTGACCAGGCTCGCGATTATACAGTATATCGCTGTATACTTTCTCCAGAGGTGCGTACGCTGGTGCACTCGGGTTGTGATGCGAGGCGAACGACTGATGCGGTAAGTCGGCTTCAGGGCAGGTGAGGCATGTTCCTCGAACTCGTTGAAGTTCTCTGCCGTCGGGTAGTAGTAGGGAGTCCTTGTCGAGTACTCCTGCTATTATCGTGTTGTTTAACGTTGTATTGCTTGGATGTCCCATTCTTGCGTGCCAGATGTCTTCGCCAGCGCGATGTCCGGGTGAGCGCCTGTACAAGTCGGAGTTGGAGTAAAAACCGGCGGTGAAGTTGGCGCTTCTATGAACCTCTCGTGGAGTAGGTGTCAACTGCTGCGCAGGAGTCGGTGGAGTATCGTCGATTGGAGCTGGTGCCGGTGAAGGACCCGCGATTGGTGTTGTCGCTGCTGTTGCCGATGTTGTCTCTGCTGCTGCCGATGTTGTCTCTACTGCTGCCGATGTTGTCTCTGCTGCTGCCGATGTTGTCTCTGCTGCTGCCGATGTTGTCTCTGCTGCTGCCGATGTTGTCTCTTCTGCTGCTGATGTTGTCTCTGCTGCTTGTTGGATTGTTGCTAATGCTCGTGTTCGTTCTGCCTCAGGTACCGTGTTCGAGTACCAGAAGCCGCCGGGGCTGAAGTCAGGGTCGAGGTCTGGTGGATGTGTCCAGGGAGCGAATGTGACGATCCCGTCGCTGTCGGCGGTGCCTTGATCTGGAACGAAGTCGAGGACGAAAACGTTGTTCTTCAGCACTGCCTTGCCGATGTAGAGACCTCCCTTCCCGTGGTATAGTTTAAACTCCTGTGTGGTGCTGTCTGCTTCGAGGTGGATGCCTTTCGCCATCAACTGGCTGACGCTGAGTAAGTTGTAGCCGAGTTCCTCCGCGATTAAAACTTTTGACATTTGCAGTATGACATTGGTTTATCTTGACTGAAGTTGAACGATGCCTTGTCGTCGTGTGCGCAGGTTCTGATTGTTGGCGACGGTGATGACTACTTCACGTTGAAGTTGGTGTTCCTTTTGAACGAAGCGACCCGAGGAGCACATGTGTTGTCCGCAACAACTATCCAAGAACCAAGTGTCTTTCCCGGATGGCTCGCTCTTGGCGATGGCTGCGTATGTCGGGTTCGGCTCCAGTGACTCGCGGCGAGGAGTGCTTACATCGAGTTGTTCTTCCGGTGAGTAGTGAGGTGGTGATTCAGTGATGCAGGATTCTGTCAGTCTCGCCATGCAGCTCACGATGTTTCTTGTCCCTTGTGCAGATTGCGTTGTTGACGTTGTCGAGGCTTGAACTTGAGGAGTAGGATGCGCTTGTGTTGAGGCGACTTGGCTGCTTGAAGGTCGAAGTTGTCGTTGTGGTGTCGTTGACTGTCTCAGACTTGGACAGTGTGTACGGGGGTGTCCAGACGTTTTGCAGAGATGACAGAACGGTGGTACGTGCTGTTGCTGTTGTTGTTTATTCTGTCGGTTGGAGTTGTTGAAGCGCCGCTGGGTGTGAAATGCGAATTCGGGTACTGATGTTTTCTTCTTGTGCCGTTCCTCGTGCAGGTCCATGTCTTGTTGTTTGGCGTGTATTTCGGCGCAGAGTGCCGCTTCGGAGATCTTCCCATGAGCTTGGAGAATAGCTCGAGTAGAGCGCCAATGAGGACCAAGACCAGTGATGACAACTGTGACGAAGGCTTCTTCAGATATCGATCTTCCGCATCGAAGGAGTTTGTCGCGCAACTCGCGGTTGCGACTGATATATGCCATCCCCTTTTCGCCGGGTTTCATCTCCACTGTTGTCAGCTGTGCCATTAACCGACTCTGATTGACGCTGTCTGTTGCTTGATACAGATTCTTCAAATGGTTGTACGCGAGCTCGGCGGAGTTGCCGTATCCTCGATAAGAACGGATGTTCTGCTGCTGGTTTGGAGTTAAGTTCCTCAGCAGGATCGTGTATGCCATCATTGACTGATATGTGTACTGCTGCTTGTCGTATTGCGTTCCGTGTGTTGGGTATGGCAGGGTCCCGTCGAAGAATCCGAGAATCTGCGCGCCTTCCATCATCAGCTCAAGCTCGAATGACCAGGTATAAAAATCCTTCCTGTCGAAAGGTGTTGATGTCTGAAGTTTCAAAACGTGCGCGAACTGTGATTGAACCTGAAGTGCATCCAGTGTTTTCTCCTGTCCAGGTTGAGACTGCTGGTGCGGCATGAAGCTGATCGAGCCACGTTGAGGCTCATACGGAGCGAAGGTGGGTTGCTGCTGGTTTCCGCGCGCATAGGATGAACCGTCGAGGCTCATGGGCGTAACGTCGTTGTTGTTGTTGCTGATGTTTGACTGTGCAGGTGCCGCTTGCTGATGTTGTTCGTAGAAGGATATGAAGGAGAAGAATTTCTCCATCATACTTGGGTCGAAGCCTGTCGCTTGGTTCACGGGGGTCTCAGTAGACTCAGCTGCTGGTCTTGTTGCTGTACCTCCCTCTGTCTGTAGGCCAGAGACTGGAGGTGGAGTAGGAGTAGTGCCGGGAGAGCCATTAGAGGAGCTTCTCTCCTTCTGTGTTGCCATACCTTCTGATGTTGTAGGAGTTTGAACGAAGTGGAGTTTTGCCTTGTTAGCTCTCATACCATGTTGGGCTGAGAAAAGCCCTTAGGATCTTTGCAAGGCTAACTCAGAGTAGAAGTGTTGTAGTTGCGGAAGCGTTTTAATGATAAGTATTGAACCACCTTGCGCTAGTATGTGAGGGCAAGATAGATTGATTATAAGAAAGTAATACAAGCCTTTTATAAGATTACAAGGAATATGAAAGGGTGCAACTAATAACTGTTTTACTGTTGCTGTTGCGGTTCGATACAGTGACGACTCGAGCAACTGCTCAGTATCGAGTCAGTTGTTTGTCCTTGCTGTCGCGCTGTATTTGTCAAGTCAAAGGTCGCTGAACTTTGACCTTCGCGTAACCTCCAGCAGTTACTTTCTCTTGTCAACCTCCGATGGTTGACTCGCCGTTGCTTCGTTGTAGTTTGCTTCGCTTGCAGTTCAGTGTTTCGACACATCAGAAGCGCTTAAGTCACTTGTTTCCAACAGATCTCAAGATCACCACGCATTCTGAGCACAAGCAAACGGCCACAAGGCCAGTTCACATGCAGAGTTTATAATAGCAATTGCTGTACACTGACCACAACCTAGCAAGTGCAAACATGCAGGTATAATCATAAATATTAGAGTACAACAAGTGCAAGGCAAGATCAAGAGACAAGCAGGTGAGGCAGAGTGGGCACAGGCCCATGAGTAGTGCAGAAACGCTAAAGATCACCAGACCCAAGGGCCTTGGTGAAGACATCAGCAGTGTTCGCCTGTGTGGCCACGTAAGCAAGACGAAGCTGACCACGCTGCTGCAGCTCTCGCGTAAGGAAGTAACGAAGAGCTATGTGCTTCATTCTGTGCCCAGTCTCTGGTCCTGACACAAGGCAATCATGGCCTTGTTGTCGACGTACAGAACTGGAGGAGAACGAGGCCGCTCACCCAAGTCGGTCAGCAGGTAGGTCAGCAAGCGGAGCTCCTGTGCAGCCATAGCCCCAGCGTAGATCTCGGCCTCACAGCAGTAACTAAGTACAGAAGACGAGCGAGTGGACCTCCAAGCACAAGCCTTATGCCTGATGTACTGCACAAGTAACACGGTACCCTCTTCGCAGCTTCCCAGTGCACCTTTCGGTGTCTACCGGGAGCCACATAGCGAGTCAGGAGGCTGAGAGGGTACGCGAGGTCAGGTCGTGTGCACGTCATCAGGTACATGAGGCAACCCACAAGCTCTGGGTACGGACCACTCGGCTCTACGGACTCGTCCGAAGGTGGAGCTTTGAGCGAGTGGCCTGTAGGCAGAGGAGTGGGCTGTGGCGAGGACCACAAGAAGCTGAAGCGCTGAAGGACCTGCTGCACCATGTGTGACTGAGTCAGGGTGATGGTGCGCCGTGCTCTGTCCCGGGTGATCTGCAAGCCAAGATAGCTCCGCAGCTCACCCAGATCAGCGCAAGTGTGTCTCTCCTGCAGCTCCGCCTTCACTAGGGCCAGTGCCTCAGTGTCAGCAGTAGCAAAAACCAAGTCGTCAACGTACACAAGAACGTAGAACGGCGGCAGAGAAGTGTCTGTGCGTAGAAACAGCGAAGGGTCAGCAGTAGAGGGAGCGAAACCAAGAGTCGCAAGTGTAGTCCTCAGTGTGTCGTGCCACTCACGGGGCGCCTGACGCAGACCGTAGACTGGTCGCCGGAGACTCCACTGGGTACCCTCAGGAAACGACCCAGTAAAGCCAGGTGGGCGGCGCAACCAGATAGCCTCGTGAAGGCTGCCCTGCAAGGCTGTCGAAAAGTCAAGGGAGTGCAACTCGTAGTCGCGCTTTGCTGCAACATGCAGTAGCAACCGAAGAGTGGTCATCTTCGGGGTGGGGGAGAAGGTCTGGAAGAAGTCGACCCCCTCACGCTGACTGAAGCCTCGTGCAACGTAACGCGCCTTGAATGCAGGCGGAGAACCCGGCGGCCGCTTCACCTTGAAAATCCACATGCCATCGGCTATGTTCGCCCCAGGTGGGGGAACTGCGTCGACGTAGGTGCCTGTGGACTTCCAGGAAGCCATCTCTGCGTCCATTGTCACCGCATATGCACTTGATGCATATGCAATAACAGTAGAATGATGGTATAGTGTGGGCTTCAGATTGCAACCATAGGAAGACTAGATAGTTATAAAACGTATGAAACAGAAATAATTAATAGGTGTAGCATTTAGCGAAGTTACTGTTAGGGAGGGGTGTAGTAGGGGGGAAATGGGATAGGAGCGGTTGGGATTAGGAGGGAGAAGGCATCGAAGGGCGAAATGTGAAACCTGGTAATCCCAACCCCGAGCCGCACATTTGGAAATGTGCAGCTCGGGGTTGGGTAAGGTCTCTCACTGCCAACCCCTCCATGCTTTCTCGCTGTACTTCTCTCGAACTAGTGAAAGTTGTTGTCTCACGCTCTAGCACACTGCAGCACGGCACTAAGAGGGAACCTACGGGGTGAGGGACGTAGCTCTTTCATTACAGCGAGAAAGCATCTCTTGCAGCGTAGGCGAATATGGACAAGTACGAGCTGCGCTGGGGTAGGGTGTTCAGCCGACGTGAGGAGGAGCGGCCACGACGCGAGCCATCACGGGAACGAGGGCGGTCCTGGGAACGATCGCCGCGCCGTCCCGCCTTCCGCGCGGATCGGGTCCCCCATGCGAGGGACCGTCGAGGGGAAGGAGCAGAAGATGTGAGAGCAGGCGTCGACGGCCACGCCGGAGGCACGGAGCGAAACGCGTGGCTGCGAGAGAGCGCCCGCGGGACTGGCGTGGAAGGCGGAAGCCACCGCGACGCAGGGGTGTTTCACTCGCCGGAAGATCGCGGACGGCGACGCGATGAGAGAGGCCGTTGGCGAGGATTCGAGGAACGGCCCCGGGGACGGGGAGGCAACGGCAGCGGCGACGCTCGCGAAGGGGGCGCGCAAGAGAACGCAGCTCAGGAGGTGACACAGGAGCGGGACGTGGAAGAAGCTGAGAGGAACCAAGGACTGCCGGTCGAGGAGGCGGATGTGGAAGATGAGAATGAAGCGCAGTCAGAGGGAACGGACGAGGCGGAACCCGGGCCGGCGGAAGAGAACGCGGGAGCAAGTCAGGCGGCGGTCGAGGAGTCAAGGACCACGCTGCAGGAATCGCGTGGTCGAGACGGTAGCCGTGGGGAGGGACAGCGCGCGGAGGGCTCCAGACGGCAGGAGCAAGGGGCACCAGACGAGGGCGCTCGGGATGCACAGGCGCCGAGATCGCACGGTAAAGGAAAGGCGGAGCGGTCGCGCACGCCGGAAAGGGATCAGCACCACGGAGAATGGCGCGTGGGCGAGTTCCGCCCGCATGTCACGCGCCAGGACCAGGAAGGCTGGAGCGGCGGCGGCACGCGTTCGCCGGGACGGCGGCAGGTGCGCGATGACGAATGGAGGGATGAGCTGCGCTCACCCAGACCGCAAGGGTGCCAGGAAGGGAGGTACGGGGCGGAGCGTGTGTCACGGGAGCGGCGCGGTCAGCAGCAAGGGGAGCGCAGCAGCACGATGCGCTCGTCGGGCCGGCCGAGTCAGCGAGCGCAGCGGGAAAACGGCGGGTCACGCTCGCCCGACTGGCGCCGCACGTGGAGGGAGGAGTACGGAGGGGAGAGGCACTCACCTGAACGCCGCCAGCAGCGCAGCAGGAGGGAAGACGCCTGGTCACCATCGCCAGAAAGGCGGCCGCTGCGCGAGACTGGCGGGGGGGAGGTGCGGAAGGCGCGCGAGCCGCCGACGCCACAATAGGGACGGGCGGAAGAGTGGGGAGGGCCGAGGGAGGGGCGCCACGAGTCAGGAGGGAGTCGCCAAGAGGGCAGAACGGAGGGCGGAACCCTGGCGCACATAGCGGAGCGGGCACGGGAAGCCAGAGAAGGCATGCAGAGGGCGAGGGTGAAGGGAGCGGAGAGGGGTCGGCCAGGGGGAGCCAGTGAATCGTGGGGAGAGGGGCAAGTGGGTGCCGCCAGCACCCCGCGAGTGGATGTGCCTGCCAGATTCTCGGGCGACCAACGCGCGGGGCCTACCCTCAAGAACTATCTGATGCAGGTAGGGAATGTGCGGTACCGCTGCGACCGGCACAACATGGACCCAGTGGACTTCTTTTTGAGCTTGCCGAACACACTGGAGGGAGAGGCCGAGACGCTGTACCGCATGAGGATTGAGGAACTGTTGTGGAGGGCAGGGAGGTACGGGGAAGACCCCACAGAGGAATTTTTGGAGCGGCTGCAGCGGCAATTCCCAGGTCACACGGCGGAGCGTATAATGGAATTTCAGGAATTCAGCAGGGGCCGGGCCGAGTCACTGTTGACCTACTACAACAGACTGATTAATGTGGCGGAGGACGTGAGATGCACGGATAACAGTCTTCTCATCAGCAAGTTCCTGGGAGGCTTGGATGAGGCCTTAGGAGGTGAGCTGAGGATGAGAGTGTATGAGCTGGGCGCGGAGGCAAGCCTGGAGGAGGTGTTCGATCTGGCAGAGAGGGTGGAGCTCGCACAGAGGAAATACGAGGCTTATCTCCCCAGGCCAGCGGAGAGAAGCCGGAGGCCAACATGGGCGGCGGCAATAATACCGGAAGGGGGAGGGAGGACGGATGGACGAGGGGAGTCAGGGACTGACACCAGGACATGTCACAGGTGTGGGCAGCCAGGGCATCTGCGCAGGGACTGCAAGAACTGTGACGGGTGTGGGAAGCCAGGGCACAGGAAGCGGGAGAGCCCAGGTGCAGCCAGGTTTGAAATCTGCAAGAAGCGGGGGCATGAGGCGAAGGATTGCTACCAGAGAGAAGGGGGGGATTAGGAGGCATCCAGAGGAGCTGCAGCGGCAGATTAGTAGGTTGCAGGCTCAGCTCAGGGCGACCGGGCTGAGAGGGGAGGCAGAGGCAGGGATGTACGCTAGAGATGAGGAAGGGGAGGAGGTGGAGCAGGACGTGCAGTGTGCCCTCATGGCTTGGAGAGGAAGGGAGGAGATGGGGCTGAGGAGCGGAGGCAAGGATGGTAGGCGGGAGCAGGGAAGGAAGGAACAGGTGAAGGGAGAGAAGCCAGCCGTGGAGCGAGCCTCCGCACGCCATCCCCAGGAGAGGCTGGCGTGCCAGACCTCGGTGCTACTGCTGGAGAAGGGAGCCATGGAAGTGGAGGGAGAGAAGGTTAAGACAGCCATCATAGACAGGGGGCACAGAGTGTGATGTTGGGCAGAGGGATGGCTGAAAGGCTAGGGTTGCTGGCGCCGGAGAGGCATGTGGCAAAGGGGATGTTGGTAATGACGGCGGAAGGGGGGGAACCGAAGTGGATGCCATACACCCGAACGCCCATAGAAGTGACGCTGCTGTCTGGGGGGGAGCATGAGACCAAAATCCGCATGAAGTGTGGGATTTCTGAGTCGGAAGACTTTGACGTGCTAGTAGGCACCGAGCTGGTGTATGCGGTAGGGATGACAATATGCACGTGGACGGAGAAGGTCGAGTTTAGGACGAGGTACTGGAAAAGGGAGGGGCCGCTGGGAGAGCTGCCAGTGCGGTTTGTGAAGGTGGAGCCGAAGAGAGCGTACCAGGCCGTGGGGGGACTGCTGCCTGGGGAGAGGGGAGGGACACCAGGGTTGGGAGGAGCACCCAGAATGAAGGGGATGGACAAGCCACAGCAGCAGAGTGATTGGCAGCAGCCCATCCACCTGGTGGAGCTGTTTGGGGGGATAGGGGCAGGGCTGTCCGCAGTGGTAAGGAATGGGATAGCAGTGAGGAGGTGGACGTATGTGGAGAAGGAACCAGGGGTTAGGAGGATGGCGGAGCATCATGCCTGGAAGCTGCAAGCGGAGTTTCCAGAACTGCTGAGTGAGAGGGTGATTAGAGAAGCCATGGGAGGGACGATCCACGATGTGAAGGAGATAAGTGAGGCGGAGGTGGCGAGCTGGGGGCAGGTGGATCTGTTGGTGGCAGGGTGGGAATGTCAAGGGGTGTCGTGGGCAGGCAAGGGGAAGGGAGAGGAAGATCACAGGACAAGGCTGATGGAGGAGCTGTTCCGAATCCTGGAGTGGCTGCAAGAGAGGCAGGGTAGGGTGGCATACTTGCTAGAAAACCTGGACCTGGAGGGAGACAGCAGAGAGCCGATCCGACTGGTGAGAGACAGAATCAGGGGGCAGCTGGGAGAAGGGGTGAGCTGTGATGCGGCCAGAATGGGGTCTTATGCGCACAGGCTCAGAATGTACTGGCAGAATGTGGTCCCTGCCGTGAAGCTGCAAGCAGAGGTGGATGGGGTGAGGCGAGCAGCAGAGAGGAAGGTGCAAGACATCCTGGCGCCAGGGCGGACCCCAGCGCCGGTGTGTCGCAAGAGCTACAGCAGGCATGAGCAATGCAACCAAGTAGGGCAGGAGAGGCGAGCACTGCCCACTCTGGTAGCGTATGTAGGGGCAGCAGGGTACAAGTGGGAAGCAGGGAAGCCCGGACCGGGGATGGTGTATGATCACGGCAGACGGAGATGGGAGGAGCCCACGGCACTCGAGCGGGAGTTGGCTATGGGGTATGGAGAAGATGCAACAGCAGCACCCGGGGTGAATGAGGCGGACAGGAGGAGGGCTCTGGGGAATGCAATGGACGGCCACGTGCTGAGGTGGCTGATTCAGCGGATGTGGCGAGAGACGGTCGTTAGCTGGGGGCAGGAAGAAGGGAAGGAAGGAACGGAGGCAGAGCCGCGGGGAGCATGGAGCTGCCAAGAAAAGGAGGAGGAGAGCTGGTGGTGGGAGGGGATGCGGAGGCAAGTAAAGGGGTGGGTGGAGGGTTGTGAGGCGTGCCAAAGGAGCAGGGCAAACCTCACCCAAGCCAAGGCAGAGTTGTAGTCGCTGCCCATCCGAGGCCTAGGTTTCAGGTGGTCCTTAGATCTGGCGGGGGAGCTGCCGCTGAGCCGGGGAGGGAAGCAATACATAGTGCTCATGGTCGAACATGTGAGTAAGTGGCTGGAGGTGAGGGCTATCCTGAGCAAGAGCTCAAGGCACGTGGCAGCGGCGTTCAAGGAACAAGTGGTATGCAGGTTCGGGGCATGTGCAGAGGTCCTCACGGATCAAGGGACAGAGTTTCAAGGGGAGTTCAAGAAGCTGCTGGAGGAGACAGGGATCACCCACAGGCGCACTTCTCGGTACCACCCACAGAGCGATGGGTTGACTGAGCGACTGGTGCAGACCTTGAAGCGGGGATTGCGAGCGTATGGGGAAAAGAGGAAGCGGGACTGGGATGAAGAGCTGCATTGGATTGCAGCAGGGTACAGATTTGGGAAGCAGGCGGCCCTGAGAGATCACTCTCCTTATAGTCTCCTATACGGATGTGAGCCGCTGCTGCCGGTGGGAGCAGCCCGGGTCCTCACAGACACTGTGACGGCAGGAACAATAGAGAATTGGGTGGCACTGTCAGAAGCCAGGGCAAGATAACTACGAGTGATGATGCCAGCGGCATTGGAGAATCTCCACACCGCCCAGCTGAGGGATGCTCGGCGCTATGAGCAGCGGCAGCAGCAAGGGGCGGGGGGAAGACCCAGGAAGGGAGTGAGTCAGGGGCAGGAAGTGTACCTGAAGCGGGCAAAGCAAGATACGCTGGATGTCGGGGTGGGCTCAGAGAGGTGGAGGGTGAAGGAGGTCCGTCCCTCAGGGATTCTGGTTTTGGAGAATGACAAAGGGGCACTCCTGAAGGAGCACCAGAGTAACACGGCTGGGGTGAAGGGGGGCAAGCCTCAAGAGAAGGGTCCTGGGACACGAGCTCAAGCAGCTAGAGCACGAGCACAGGAGGGGGCAGTGGGTAAGTGAGGCTATGCAACAAGGAGAAGGAAGAAACAGGAGAGACAGCATGAGAAGAACAGGTGCAGGGAGAAGAGCAGGTGCAGGATGAAGAGCAGGTGCATGAAGAAGAGCAGGGGCTGAGAGGAGGAAGGTTCTCCGACAGCTGTCACCGCATATGCACTTGATGCATATGCAATAACAGTAGAATGATGGTATAGTGTGGGCTTCAGACCACAACCATGGGAAGACTAGATAGTTATAAAACGTATGAAACAGGAATAACTAATAGGTGTAGCATTTAGCGAAGTTACTGTTAGGGAGGGGTGTAGAAGGGGGGAAATGGGATAGGAGCGGTTGGGATTAGGAGGGAGAAGGCATCGAAGGGCGAAATGTGAAACCTGGTAATCCCAACCCCGAGCCGCACATTTGGAAATGTGCAGCTTGGGGTTGGGTAAGGTCTCTCACTACCAACCCCTCCATGCTTTCTCGCTGTAATTCTCTCGAACTAGTGAAAGTTGTTGTCTCACGCTCTAGCACACTGCAGCACGGCACTAAGAGGGAACCTACAGGGTGAGGGACGTAGCTCTTTCATCGTGGGTAAGTTAGGCTATGCAACAAGGAGAAGGAAGAAACAGGAGAGACAGCATGAGAAGAACAGGTGCAGGGAGAAGAGCAGGTGCAGGATGAAGAGCAGGTGCATGAAGAAGAGCAGGGGCTGAGAGGAGGAAGGTTCTCCGACACCATGGCTATCTGCCACTGAGAGGAGTACGGACCCGTGATTGCGTCTGCGTAAGAACGCGGGGTCAGGAGTCCAGTGCATCCGGGTCTCCCTCAAGGCAAAGTAGCGTGGACGCGAGATGAGGTGCAACGACCGCTAGGCACTCCAGCTCAAACTGATTGTCCTCAAGGACGTCACAGCCAAGGGCAAGCTCACCCCCGACGGACGGAGGACAGGAAGAGTAAAAAACAAGACTCGCAGCATAGTCAAGGCG